ACCCGTCTATCCATGCACACACCCATCCGTCCATCATGCGGCCACCCAGCAATGCACCCATCCACCCGTCTATCCATGCACACACCCATCCGTCCATCATGCACCCACCTATCAATGCACCCATCCACCGGTCTATCCATGCACATACCCATCCGTCCATCATGCACCCACCTATCAATGCACCCATCCACCCATCTATCTATGGGTATCTATGCATCTATCTATGCATGCATCCATCCAATTTTTCACTCCTTCAGATTCTCCCTATTCACACGCTGAGCACTGACATAAATGAGGATGTAGAGTGCTTGAAAATATTCCCAGTAGAAGGATCTGTGTGGTTGTGCAAAGGGCACCTGCCTAGCCCAATGTGTGTGCATTTGTGACTACCCAGCACCCTTTAGATTGTGACAAAGTATACACATTAATACTAACTACCTGTTTCTACAGTCCCAGTGCTACACTGCATGCTTACTATACTGGTATGCTTATTGTCACATTATTGTCACAATCCCACTTTACAATGGATGTCACGATTGCTTCTGATAAACAAACAGGTGGCAGACACAAGGTCACACAGCTTGTGCATGGCAGGCCAGGAATCTGAACTAAGCCCTTTATCAAGAAACAAAACCCAGAACTGTCCTGTCTGCTGCACCCTGTATACAGAGACCTCAGTGTGCGGTGGCGTCTACACATTTCTCTCTCTGATGCAATGAAGAGGGGGCTGAGATTACAATAAATCAAACAGTGTGGCCAACTGCTTCTGGATGTGTAGGCAGGAAGCAGCTGTCAGAAACTCAAGACTGAGAACTCAAGGTTCTAAGTAGGACAACTTCATGTGTATGTACTGAAATATGAAAGACCGCCTTCTAAGGCCATCTGGAAACACCCCATCACTGCAGAGCCCCTGGAGCTCAAACAGTGTTTCTGCATCTGCATGCGTGTTCTCACTTGTCTGTCACTGTGGGAAAGAGAAGGAGTAGAAATTCAGATTCTCACATGAAAGAGACACAATTGGTCCTGTTTTGAGATCCAAGCCGTGTGACCTCACACACCAGTTAACCTCTCTGAACCAATTTCCTTGTGTCAACAATGAAGAGACAGTGATGAACCTATTTTAATGTACTTTTTTAACATCAAATGAATATACACTGCCATCACCGGTTGTAAGGCCATCCTCCTTTGATGTTCATGTTTATAAAATAAGGTCTTTCAAGCTTGATTTGGGCATGAGTATACTTTGGAAATCATTGATATCACATACAAAAATATTCCATTTGCCACTGAGGATTTTTGGCAGACCCCGTTCCTTAAGTCCAACACTGCTCTGGGGTTCTGGAGTTTTGGGTGAAATGTCCAAAGACAGGACAGTCACGGGAAGGTATGTCCCTCTCTGCCTGTCACCATCTGACCACATTAGGTTCAAAGGTGAGCCTCTCTCCGGTAGGCCACAGGGCTTTCTCTGCTTCCCGGTACATTGTCATTTCTGTCCCTCAAAGCTTTCTATCACCAGGATGCAGGGCTGGGGACCCTGGGGCCTATGAGCACAGATAGAAACCAAGGCCCTAAAGCCCCAAGGCCCCGAGCTAGTGCTGGAAGGGAGGCTAGAGGAAGGCTCTGGGCTCTACCTGTAAATGTGCTGACAGCAGGGGCTGCTTGCCAGCAACAAGGACAAGCTTCTGACCAGGGAGGCACCCCACCAAAAGCATTCACACAGAGCCACTCACCACCGCCCCCAGGTGATCCTCCAGCTCATAGCTATATGATCCATCATTAATGAAATTCTTTCTATGTGCTAAGCTCTGTGTTTGCAAGAATGAGTAACCTATGTCCTGCATCCTCAGCCAGAATCCGAGGGCTCAAGCAGGAGAGACAGACAGACAATAGGGACAGACAATTACAAAACACCACAGTTAGGTACAAAAATGAATGAGAAATCAAAACTGGCATGCTGGTACATGCCTTTATTTTCAAGATTCAGGAGGCAGAGACAGGAGGATCCCTGAGTTTGAGACCAGCCTGGTTTGCACAAAGTCAGTTCCAGGACAGCCATAGCTGCACAAAGAAACCATGTCTTAGAAGGGGGAGGAGGAAAAGAAAAAAAAATCAGTCATGGTGGCCAAAGCCTGTAATTCCCATACAAGAGAGGTGGAGGCCAGGGGATAGTGAACTTGAGGACAGCCTAGGCTACAAGCAAGACCCCGTGGAGAATGAGAAGACAGAGATTGGTAGAGGAGAGCACAGGGATGAGGTCCTGATTCAGGAGGAGGGTCTGTTCAGGTGGAGAGGACTTTGGGAGAAGACATCCCAGCAAAGGTGGAAGGCTAGAGCTGGAGCTATGTGAGAAAGGCATCCCAGGCGACCACGGGTAACGCAGGCCTGGCAACATTCCTGTGGGATGTGGTGACAGAAGGCGTAGAACCTGGCCGGGAACTGAGACCCAACACCCAAAGGGCCTTGTAAACGGAGGTGCCCAGCCTGCTGCCTGAACTTTGCCCCCAAGGTGCTAAGTACAGCAAACACCTCAAAGGTTTGTAGCACCAGCGACTGCGTTTTTGCATCTTCCATTCTCAGAGGCCTTCCTTCTTCAGGGCAATTGCAGGCTGCCAGAGAGCTGCCCTGCTGCCCGGCTGGACTGGTGCCACCCCGCCTGACTCATTGTCATAGGCCAGAGCTGAATTGCCTGCCTCCTGCCTCCTGGACATCTCGCTCATGCTGACCTCATAAGGTGATATGGGCACAGAAGGACTTGGCAACAGAAACTTCTTGGAAGCAGCTAGAAGCACACGCTGAGCCCTGAGCAGGACTTGCAGTGGGACATTGCCTGAGAAGCAGGTCTTGGACAGAGGCAGGGCCAGCATGCTGCAGCAGAGACACCTGCGCTTATGTCTCCCGGCCCCCCCCCACCTTCCCCGGCAGGGGAAAGTGGCCTCAGCTCTCAAGCTCTCAGCCTTGGCCACTCTCCAACAGCTTTGAGGGAGGAGAATGAGCTTGCTTGCTTGCTTGATCTAAGACATTCTCATGTAGCCCAGGCTGGCCTGGAACTCACTATGCAGCCTGAGGATGACCTTGAACTTGTGATCTAAATGCTGGAACTCTATGCATGAGCCCCATTTTCTGCAGCATTGGGGATAAAACATACAGCCAAGTGCATGCCAGGCAAACACTGTACCCACTGAGCCACAGTCCAATCATCCAGTACCTTCCAGAAGCCAGGGCATCTCACAGCTCCAGCTGCCATTTGGGACTATTCCCTCATCTCTACGCCTCCATCTCTGCACAGCCCCACCGCCATTACTCCCGAGACCCAGGGTCTCTGCAGCCTCGCTGTCAAACCGTGTTCTCTATGACTTCCTTTCTAGCAGGTCCATGGCTCTGCCTATGTCTCCCCTGGTGACTCCTTCCCCTGCTCCCCCCTCCCATGACTCCCTTTATTCTGAGTCCTTAGGTTCCACGGCTTACAATACAGTATTAGCTTACCTACCTCAACCATTCCCAAGGATTGACTCAGGAATCTGCCACACCCATCCCACACAATGACAGGCTGAAATTCCATCTTCCTCCCTCGTCCTTTTCATCTTCTTCTTGAGCGGTACCTAATCCTTCCAGACTCAGCGCAAATGCCAGCCAGACCTTAAAGCTTTCCCCTATCACCTTACCAACGGATTAAGTCTAAGAAGACTCTGCTTACCTTGGTTAAATCATGTTTTTTTGTGTGAACAGCACAAGAGCAGCTGAGAACTGAACATAAAGTAACTCACTTAACCACCCCCCAAGCATCCTATGTTATTATCATCCTGTAGTCCTCATGGGCCAACAGCTAGTCTAGAGGAAGCAGGACTTGGATGCACACAGCCAGCCAGCAGGTGCTCACCGAGTGCATTAAGAATTCTCTTGACTCCCCCGGTGTGTGTTTGTCCCTCCAGATGCTAATGAGCTCCTTGGTGAGAATGGACTAGGTTGCTGCTCTCTTCCCAGACCCAGGGAACATAAAGAACTTCGGGTTCTAGGGGTACACTGGGGGAAAATAATTTTAGACCGGCAAGTGTCTTCCCTACGTTCACTCGAGAGTAACTCTTCATTTGCCTGGCCTCACAAGTCCTGAGATTAACAAGCTTCTGGAAGGAACGATGCAAGAAGGTAATATCAGTGCCTGAAACCTGGCTGGCCAAGATCTGGTATCTGGAAATGTGATAGAGAAACAGCCCACACATTCAGGCGGAGCCACCTGAAAGCCTGAACTTTCGTGATGGTGGCCATCAGGAACCAAAGGCTGTGGACATGCAGAGAGGAAAGGCTGGGGAGAGGTCAAAAGGAGGCAGGACAGGTGTTGTAGGAGATCTGGCCCACGAGAGCCAGTCAGCAGGTTCTGCAGGACCCATAGAGGCCTGAGTGTTTGATCGCCACCACCAGACAGACCCAGCACTGTGAAAGGTGGTGTGATTGCCAGTGGTCTGATAATCTATAGATACAAGAGTCAGGAAAAACTGGTTTGTCCTTCCTCCGTGGGTACTACCCCACCGACCTTCTCCAAGTCTTCCCGCTCTCTCAGCTTTCCCCCAGCAGAAAGGGCAGTGACTTTCCAGCCTCAAGACCAGCTCATCTTACGAACTGGGTGGTCTGCAAGCTCCTGATCCTGTAAAATGGGGTGAACTTGACCATCACCCCAATGAATGTTACAGAGGGGACGAGCGCGGGCCTGGGAAGCTTTTCCTTCCCGAGGATCTTGCGGTCTCCAAGTACTATCTCCCAGTCCAGGTCCTCTACTACCCAGGAAACCAACCAGACACTGCAGACGTCTGCACCCACGAGGAGGGGGGGGGCATCTATCTCCCCAGGGGACCTCCCACCCTGGCAGCTTTAAGTGGCGGCTCCCACCGGGGCAAGGCAGGCTGCAATTGGAGGGGGTGGGGTGGATATCCGTCCCATCCCGTCCGGTCCCACGGTCCCATCTCCCACACCCACCCACTCGCCCGCCCTGGCTGAGCCCTGCTTACCTGCGGCTCCAGAAGCCCGCGCTGCTCCGCACTAAGGAGAGCGGGGCGAGCAGCACGAAAGGCGGAGAACACGGGGATGCGGTGGCCGGGGCTGTACAGGGTGGCAAAGCGCTCGGTGCCCGCGAAGCGCTGACAGATCCTCACGTGCGCCTCGGTCGCCAGCCGGGCGGGCGGGGTCCCCGCGTAGAAGAAGCGATCACACTCACCGAAGCCCTCTTGGTGCGGGAGCAGCAGCCGGGCCTGCAGCAGCCCCACCAGGGCCAGGAGGCCGCCCAGCGCGAGCCAGCGCGCACAGCCCATGGCGGCCTCTGCGCGGCCAGGCGCCGCAGGAGCAGGGAAGTCCGCGCTGTGCTGCTCCGGCGGGGCGGCTCCGGGCCAAGGCCGCGCCCCTTCTCCGCCTCCGCCCCGAAGATGGCTGCAGGGCTCGGCCCGGCTTTCTGCTGCTTCACCGGCGCTTGGAGACTGGTCACCTGCCACCGCGTTGCTGCCTGCGGAGTGCCAGACCCACCCCTCCGCGCTGGTCTGGCCTAGTCCAAGCGACAATCCCCGGGGCTGGGGCTGAGAAGCTACGGCTTGCTCGCACCAGGGCCCTCCGGGATGCACAGGGGCGGGAGATGTCCGCACAGCAATGCTCCCCGGATCCTGTGCCTGCCCTTCCGCATCAGACCCCGGGCGGTGGTGGAAACGCGTTTAATCCCAGTACTCGGATACCAGAGGCCGGAGGATCTCTGAGTTCGACGTCAGCCTGGTCTACAGAGCTAGTTTCAGGACAACCAATACTGTTACACAAAGACAGCCTGTCCGGAAAACAAACAAACAAACAAAACATGAAAAGAAAAGAAACGCAGTTAAAGGCAGTCGTGGTGGTAGAGGCAAGAGGATCCGGAATTCAAAGTTCAACAGACCCTGCACCAAATAAATAAATAAATGCAAATAAACACATAAATCCCCATTAAAGGAGGTTCCTAGGCTAGCAGCACAGCCCTGCTGTTGTTTCCTTGGTGCTTGGGTTAGACATCAAACTGAAACTCAGAAGGCAAAGAGACCGCCAACACCCTTTATTCCTCCCACTGCTGGTACGCCCCCGCATACCTCCACCTGGAATTAGGATAGCGATTGCAAACAAGAGCAGGGCCTCTGTGTGGTGAGTACAGCCCAAAGGTGAGAACAGCTTGCTACTTATTCAAAGGCGTGCTGTTCGCTGTTCGAGGGATCGCTGAAAACCCACACGATGACTCCTTCAGGACTTTAGGAAAGGGTGGCATCTGACCTGCAGCAGGAGGGAAGCAGCCCAAGCTGAAAGGGGAAGGGAAAGGCTTGTGGGAAGAACTTGAGAAGGCTGATGGTCTCCAGAGCAGAGGGAACCGGCGAGGGTTTGTGGGTGGAGCGCTTGCCTCGTATATGGAAGCCCTGGGTCCCATTCCTGGTACTGAATAAACTAGCTGTGGTGGTGTGCATGAAGGGGAGTAAGAGCAGGGGGACCAGGAGTCCAAAGGTAAGGTGGGCTTGAGACCCTGTCTCAAAATTAATTAATTAATTAATTAAACTTAAAAAGTGACAACTAGGCACTGACTTTGTTTTCTCGGAGCTACTAACGGACTATATTGTAACCCGATGTTTGGAAAGAATATTGTAAATTAGGCTGATGAGTCAAACAGGGTGTCTCTGGCTTATAATCCCAGCACTAGAGAGAAGGGGTCAGGAGAATTAAGAATTTAAGACCAACCTGGGCTACAAAGCAAGACCAATCTCAAATAGAAAACTCAAACAAAACAAATAAAAATTTGCTGAAAACTTGGGACTTTTGATCACATTTCTGAGCAGAGACTGGTGTATTGGAGTGGTCAGGAAGGATGAAAAGGAGAAGCAGGCTGGGGAGGCAGGTTAGTGGTCACAGTGATTGTCAGGCAAACTCGGGGTCTCAATCAGATACAAGCACGAGAGTCTATTTGAGTTTGATGCACAGAACACGAGTCAAAAAGCAGGGCACAGTGATGGTGACACAGACTTACAATTTCACGCTGGGGAGGTGGAGAAAGGTGGGTCCTTGGGGCTAGAAGGTCAGGCTCGCCTAATTGGAGTCTCAGGTCAGTGAGAGTTGAAGTGGACAGCTCCTTCTCGAACACTACACACGCACGTGCACACCCAACACAGACACAGACACACACACACAGACACACACAGAAACACACACAGAAACACACAGAGACACACACACAGAGACACACACAGACACAGACACACACAGAGACACACAAACACAGACACAGACACACACACACATACACACACACAGAGACACACACACACAGAGACACACACACAGACACAGACACACACACACAGACACACACACACAGACACACACAGAAACACACACAGACACACAGATACACACACAGACACACACACACAGAGACACACACAGAGACACACACAGAGACACACACACAGACACACACACACAGACACACACAGACACACACAGAGACACACACACACACATACACAGACACAGACATTCACACACACACATACACACACAGACACACACACACATACACAGACACAGACATTCACACACACACATACACACACAGACACATACACACAGAGACACACAAACACAGACACAGACACACACATACACACACAGACACAGACACACACACACATACACATAGCATACATACCTCTGTTCCACTACCTTACCCTACCCTCATGGTACCTTTGAGTTTCATCGCAGTCTATGAGTGGCTGTCAGGTATAAACAACGTTTGCACACCGCACAGATAATTTCATCTACGTACTCGACTTTGCTCACACTCTTTTGGTTTTTTTTTGTTTTGCTTTGCTTTGTGATTGTTGTTGTTGTTGTTTTACATGCTCTCCTTTCAACAATAAAAATTACAATTTTGAATTTGCTTTCGAAAATTGCAAATGTCCTTGCTCCAAGATTCTGAAAAAATAAAAATTAGCAGGGTGGGAAGGCCTAGAGCTGATTCAAATATTTGCTGGCGGTTTATCCCAGGGGAAGCCTGTCTTAGCAGCACGCAGGGACGCCCAGGAATGCTCATCAGTCTTTGCTCGGTCACCCTCAGTCTCTCTCTTTTCCGGCTGATGCTGCTCACAGAGGGTGCAGCTTTGGCCTGAGTTCCTTCAGGCCTCTCCTCCCAGCCGCACAGCACCTGTCCAGCTGAGGCCTGAGCAAGACACAGTGGTGAGGTGAAATACAAGGGCGGTGCTGTGTGCTTCTGTGGTTAGGGTTCTAGCCCAAGCTGCTTGAAAGTATGAGCCTCCCTTGCCCCCATCCTGTGACGACTGCATGCTACAACCACACCAAATGCGCCAGGCCCCCGCCGCTCCAACTCCTTCCACTCTGCTTTGCAGATGGCGTGGACTCCTACCAAAAAGTACGAGTCCGTCATTCTGCTCTCTCTGCTTTGCACACTCTCCAATCACTCTCCCTATAGCTTCCAGTAAAACCAGCACACACACACACACACACACACACACACACACACACACACACACACGCCCCACTGCTGATCACATGACTACTCCCCCTCTTCCTGAGGTCTCCTCTCTTATTGCACATTGCACTCGACCTTGAGCCTCTGCACCAGGAAGTCCTTTGCTCTCCCCTTAGCTTGCTTTTCCCTCACAGGCTGCCCTACCTACCTCACACCCTCAAGCCACTCAGCTTCCCAGCAAGCCCATACTTACTCCACCCCCACACACCCAACTTGAACTAAGGCAAATTCCATGCAGGGAGGAAGAAGGAAGAAAGGAAAAGAGGGGCAAGGGAGGCAAAAACTTTTCTCTAAGACACCTCATGTAGGCTTTAACACTCCAGCCCGTTTCCTCTCAGAAGGCCTCCTTTCTTAATTATTTTATGTGTGTGGGAGTGTTTTTCTGACTGTGGACTGTGAACCACTTGTGTGCCTGGTGACAGTGGAGGCCATCAGAGGCTGTTGAATCCCCTAGAACTGGAGTTATAGACAATTGTGAGCCACCATAGGAATGCTGGGAAATGCATCTGGGATCTTAGTCTCAGAAACTCTCTCTCTCTCTCTCTCTCTCTCTCTCTCTCTCTCTCTCTCTCTCTCTCTCTCTCTCTCTCTCTCTCTCTCTCTCTCTCCCTTTATGTGTGGCTACAGCTGGAGCCTGGGTCCTCTGAAATAGAGACTCCTGTGAGGGCTTTCAAAAGAAGGTCAGTGGATTGATATGGAGACTTGGTGAACACAGTCTCTTTCCAGAGGTCAGGGATCAGGCAGCTGTAGGTCTTGGAGTTGGCCTCAAAGGAGGACTTGGCGAGGTTGCCCAGGGTAGAAGTGTAGCCCCTGGCTGACGTGTAGCAATCATCAGTACCAGCCATCATCAGACGTCACCTTGCACGGAACAGTGTTGCCAATCCTGTTCCCCCAATAGCCTATCTACACCAGCACAATGGAAAGCTTGACCAAGATGATGGGCCCTTGGATGGCAGTGGCTACTTGGACCATTTAACACCAAGATCAACATGACCATTTTAGTCCTCAATAGCGTCAAAAACTTTGAACCTTGTCTGCTGTTTCTGCCCTGTCAGGATCTTTAGAATCTCATCCTTTAGGGATGTGCCTAGGAAAAAGTCAATAATCTCAGATTCCTTGGTGGGCAGGGGGAACAAGCAGATCTCTAGGGGCTTGGTGATGGGGACCCACTCCTTTCTTCAACTTTACCTCCAGGAGCCCCATGGCCTTGACCAAGACCATAGCCCCTAAGGCAGTCGCTGGCCTCCCAATCCTAGGCCACCTCATCCTCTGGGGCCTCCTGCTGCACAGCATCATCCGCCATTTTGTTTCCCACTGAAGAAGCAGCCAGCAAGTTTCCTAAATGCCCGCCACGATCCAGTGACTGTACTAGCTGCTGGGTATTCAGAGGAAGTGGAACCTCATTCGGTTCCCATGCTCCCTGGGAAACTCACTGCAGCACCTTGTGGGGCCAGGTGGGCTCCCAGAAGAAAAAGCAGAAGTCAGCAATGCCCCAGAAGCTTCTGCCTGAGACAGAGATACATGATGGGGAATGTCCTTCTTTCTGCATGCTGTGAATATATGTTTCTCTTATTGGTTTAATAAAATGGAGATTGTCCAGTAGTCAGACAGGAAGGATAGGTGGGGTTACCAGACTAGGAGAAGGCTGGGTAGAGGAAGGCAGAGAGGAGACTCCAGAGAGACATCATGTAGCTGCCGAGGAAGAAGAGGGACCAGGGATCACCAGTAAGTCCAAGACCATGTGGAAATACATAGGTTCATGGATATGGGTTAATAATTAAGAGACAGCTAGCCAATAAGAAGCCTGAGCCACCGACCAAGTAGTTTATAATTAATATAAGTGTCAGTGTGTTTATTTGGAACTAAATGGCTGCAGGACCAGGTAGAAAATAAACTCCATCTACAGCATGGGCTTTACAAAGCCACAAAGCTCTGAACTATCGAGTGCATGAAAGGTCAGGTGACCTCCTTGTCACAGGAGTTAAAATGTGACAAGAAACACAGACAAGCAAAACTAGTCACAAAATAGTTGGATGGAGGAAATATTACATGTAGTGGTGATGGGGGATGTCCTTCTATATGCTGTGAATATGTGTTTCTCCTGTTGGCTGATGAATAAATGCTGATTGGCCAGTAGCCAGTTAGGAAGTATAGGCAGGGCTATCAGACTAGGAGAAAAGAAAGGCAGAGGATGAGGAGAGAGAGGGAGGGGGGGAGAGACAGAGACAGAGAGAGACAGAGAGACAGAGACAGAGAGAGACAGAGAGACAGAGACAGAGAGAGACAGAGACACAGAGAGACAGAGAGAGGCAGAGAGAGACAGAGACAGAGAGACAGAGACAGAGAGACAGAGACAGAGAGACAGAGAGACAGAGAGAGATGCCATGTAGCCACCAAAGGAGTAACATTCTGGTACACTCTGTATAAATCACAACCTCGTGGCAACACATAGTTTAATAGAAATGGATTAATAATTAAGAAAGAGCTAGCCAGTAAGAAGCCTGAGCTATCAACCAAACAGTTTATAATTAATATAAGCCTTTGTGTGTTTATTTGGGATGAAATTGTCGTGGGACCAGGCGGGGAAGAAATTCTGTCATCATAGTGGTACAGCTGACAGTTTAGGCAGAGAGTAGCAATGGTGGAAGTCAGTGTAATTGAGACATGTTAGAACATGGCTATAACTAGAATAGTCAGTCATTTCTAGGCCCCTGAGGCTGTGTCTTTGTCTCTCCTCTCTGTAGACTCTCCAGGATTAAAGAGAATCAGCATATAATGAGGAAGTTAACCTAATTTGGGTTGAAAGATGCTCAGGAACTAAGGAGGGGTTTTCTTTGGGGGTAGAAATCATTCCTTCTCTTCCTGATAATGACAAAATTAGAAGCTTGGTAGGCTCACCCCGTGGGTGGGAGACAGAGCCAGCTGAGCAAGACTGTAAGTGATGCTTAACCACAGGACGGAGAACAGAACACTGCTTACCAGTAGGCAGAGCGGACATGTTTTTCTATGAAGTTGAACTTTGAATAATGTTCAAAAGTAGTACTGGGCAGTATTCAATGAGTACAGAGACTCAGGCTTACCAGATGAAAAAGTTGTTGATTTATGTTTCACAAAAATGAATACTTCACTCTTGAAAATAGCTGAGATGGTAAATTCTGTATTTTATCACACTAAAAAAGTTGAAAACTAATAGTATTAGACAACTTTAGACACAGCCGCCCCCTTTCTGACCACCTCCCTCATGAGGTTATAATAAAGGAAACCAACAGTAAATGGCCGAGCACTTCAGGGACGCTGAGCTGAGGTCCTTTAAAAGTAAATAGCATTGTTGCTGGGGAGCAGAAAACTGCCTGCCTCACAAACAGGAAGACCCAGATATGATCAAAGGCAAGTTCAGTCCCAGAATCCATACAAAAATCATCGCAGTGCCATGAGGACGAGTCAAGAGGATTCTGGGACTCGCTGCTTAGCCAGTCTAGCTTACTTAGGGAACACCTGGCCAGGGAGAGATCTGCTCTCAAAGGAGATAATATCCCTGAAGTGCACTTCAGGTTGTCCTCCAGGCTCCATGAGTACCTTCAAATATATGCACATGCATTCACATACATAAAAATCAAATAGTATTTCATGCCCCTGAAGTTTGGACCATGCAGTCAACTCATCAAGTAAATACTGTAGGAAAACCCTTAGTAGGATTTTCTTCCTGCTGCCATGTGTGGCTCCAATGCCCTTGCTTGCTGCTCCTAGTACAGTGCATGACAGAAGCTTCGAGTAATCATGCAGGAAAAGACCCAAAGGCACGTCTCCAGATCGGGATACGTGTCTTCATTTCAGTCTTCTACCTGAAGGCTGCTAAGATCATCCAGTCACTGGAAGCCATCTGCTCAGAGAAGAAAAGGCTGGTGTCCTTCTTGAGCATCTTCCCACCCGACTCCGTTCAAATGAAGTAGAGACTTTTGCCTCTGAATACTGGTGGGAGCATGGAAAAAAATCAATCATTCAAGGCCAGGTCAGTGCTAAGCTGTGGACACAGTGAATACAACGTGGAATCTATAAAGTGGTTGCCTTGGTCTTTCCTTTGATTTTAGAAACACTAAAAGGCGTCTAACTGGAGGATTTACACTGACTGCTTAATTCCAAATCAAGACAGAACCATTGATGGGGCTGGAGAGATGATTTACCAGTTAAGGGCACTGGCTGTTCTTTCAGAAGACCTGGGTTCAAGTCCCAGGACCCACATGGCCAATCACAACCATCTGTAACTCTCCTGGGGATTCTGATACTCTTTTCTGGTCTCCAAGCATACCATGCTGCAGACCCATGGAGCATAGACACATACGCAGTCTAAACACCCGTACACATAAAAATAAACAAATGTGTTTTAAAGATAGAATTGCTGAGCTGTGGGGGGGGGGGTGCTTATGATCCCAGCACTCAGGAAGGTCAGCCAAGAGGAATAAGGGCTGGGGGCCAACTTCAGCAGGGAAGTATAGGCCCCTTGCAACATGCCCCCACCCCCACCCCTACCCCTACCCCTACCCCCACCCCCAGAGCAAAGAGCCGAGATCCACTTGTAGGACCACATATTGGGCAGTACTGTGCTAGTACCTGAGTCACGTGGGCAGGAAATGTTCCCAATAGCTCCATCAGCAAGTGACTTGACCGTCGGAGGTCACACATACAGGCGGACATTCTCCTCCTCAGTGATCATGGTTGACCCCCACATTTGCCAGGCAAGTAAAATTTCAAAAGAGAGAAAAGACACATTGGTGGATTAAAAAAAAAAACACTTAAAATTGCCTCAAAGAGGGAAATAAATGCATAATGAGGACAAGGCAGGGGGAAGCAAGTCCTAGGTGTTCAGACTTAGACCCGAAAGGTTCATAGCCCACAACCTCCTCTGACATGTTAAAGCAGGCCTCGTTGAGGGAAATGGAAACCATGACAGGGAGCGTCACCAGGCGAGCCCAGGGAAGAATCTAGCCTTGCTACCTGATTCTCCTGGGTCTGGGGGTGACTAGATATTGGCATTTCCACTACAGACCTGTGTACTATTGCTTGTGTTCACATGAACTTCTAGACTCCTGGTTATCTATATTCCTGGAGCCCCACCTACTTCCCAATGACATCCTCTCTATGAACTCAGTTCCACAGCCTTACAGGAGTCCGCCCCTCACTTGCCCAGCACAACATGAGGTCTGTTCCCAGCAGTAAGAGTTGTTGTTAAAGTTGCCAGGCATTTGAACCCTTTGTCTTGGATTTTTAATTTGTGCTGCATGTACCCAGTGCCCAACAACGAGGGTATCTGTTACCAATCTATTATTAGAAACAAATACCAGCCGAATCATTGTGTACAAAGGGAGTATTGAGAGAGAAACATTTGGTCACTTGCAGATACACGGCAGCCTAAAACAAGGAGCTTTGTCCAGTGCTAGGACCCTAGGTGACACAGGGTGGGAGAGGGGAGGGGAGGGCAGAAGAGAGAACAGTGTAACTTCCCTACTTTTCTCTGCTTTGTTACTCCAGGGAAATGGATACTTTCTGTAGATCTACCAAGTCTGGCTACATGTCAGGGAGAGAGGACCAAAGTGACTCTAGAACACTCAGGGGACTTGGATGGGGTACAGAGTCATGCTTGGGACTTGGCTTGTAAAAGATGTAACTTGGTCAAGGATCTCCCAAGCTAGCAATCACAGACCAAATTAAGTGACTACAAAGCTTTTGGCTACACAACTCAGAGCAGTCCAGGAATCTTGTCTTTTCTACCAGTCCAAGCAGAGCAAAACCACTTAGGTTAGTTGCAGGGGCTCTTGGTGGATTTTGCAATTGGAATGGGCTATGTATAGAACACCCAGCGTATCTCAGAGGTCAGTGGACTAACTCTGGCCTCCAAGAGCATGTGGGGCTTTTAAGATGTTTTTAATTAGCTGCCAACATTGAAAAACCCCAAATACTTTTCATAAACTTCCAGGTTTCTAGAAAATGACAACTACATGACCATTATTCACTCATAACACCTGTCAGATGCCCCCTCTCTGGGCTCTCAGACAGGTGGGCAGGTCAGAAGAAGCAAGGGAAGACCCTTAGTTGAGGAAATACTGACTTCCATTATTGCACAACCAAGTTCAACAACAGCTTTGACAGAGAGAGAGAGAGAGAGAGAGAGAGAGAGAGAGAGAGAGAGAGAGAGAACTAGATCACAAACTTGAGCAATGCTGTAAACAGCAACCGTGAAGCCCAAGCCTTGTTATGTGACTTGTTGGCTGGAATGGTATGAGAGCTTCACAACCAGCAAACCAAACTAGAATCTCAAGACAGCTGAAGAAACGAAACTTACCCCTGCAGCCAAACTTCTCATCCATCTCAGGACCAGATGGAGGATCTTAGCCTCGGCCAGGAATTTACAAGGTAGTGTCACTCATGCAGGTTTTAAAGTTCTGTACTCCAGCCAATTAAAATATTTGTAATTGGGGCAATAAACCAGAGACACCGGTGAGGTTCAAAGGCAACGCGGAGGGAACCAAGATAGAGTCTCCACCCTAGTGGCAGACCCAGCACTCACTAGGACAGGAACTCTAAATCTTGACCTTGCTCCTGACTCTGCTGGAAAGCTACTTAGACACACAAGACCATGAAACGCTGCATTTCCGCAAAACCTGGAGGGGGTTGGGGAGAGGGTGCAGTCCCAGAGCATCTGTGTGATCAAGGCACCAACTAGGCTTGGTCCTTAGCACAGCAAGAAATCAGCCCATTGAAAGGGAAGCCACCAGGTTCCCTGCCCATGTTTCAAATGACAAAGCTTCAGCCTCCATCTTGCCATTCCCTTGCCAAGTTTGTCAGCAGGAAGTGACGTATCAAGTCTGCCTGCAACCTCTATGTCTTCAAATAACAATGCAGCACGGGCAGGACTGGCAAGATGGCACCCAGAGGGTAAAAGCACTGACCGTGGAAGCCTATCTGAGTTCAATTGCTAGAGCCCATGGTGGAAGAAGAGAATAGACTCTCCATAGCTGTTGTGTGATGTCCTCATCTCTGTCTCTCTCTGTCTCTCTCTGTCTCTCTCTCTCTCTCTCTCTCTCTCTCTCTCTCTCACACACACACACACACACACACACACACACACACACACACAAATAAATAATGAGAGCAGGAATTACCAGTCAAAGCAAGCTATAGAATATGATGGATACCTTAAATCCTACCAGTTGGAGGCAGAGGCAAGTGGATCTCTGAGAGTTAGGGGTCTATAAGAGCTACATAGTGGCCGGGTGTTGGTGGCGCACACCTTTAATCCCAGCACTCGGGAGGCAGAGGCAGGCGGATCTCTGTGAGTTCGAGGCCGGGCTGGACCGACAGCCTCGAAAACAATACAGAGAAACCCTGTCTCGTAAAACCAAAAAAAAAAAAAAAAAAAAAAAAAAGCTACATAGTGAAAACCTGTCTCAATAACTATAATAATAATAATAATAGTAACAATAGTGAATGTGCTGGCTGGAAAGGGAACTCTACGATGGAGCATCCATATGTCCCTCATCTGTGATGAGGTGGAACTCTTAGGTGACAAAACTCTTTGAGATTCACCCACACTCCTGTGAGTAAGCTCAATAAACTCATTGGCTTAGGCTGGGCCTGGGTGCAAGAACCCTTCTGGTATCGGTGGCGAACAGACAGTTGTTCACATCTCCTGAGGGAAAGCTGTCACAGCGGGAGGCCTGCTGCACGGTTGGCCATTGTGGTGAGGGCATAAAGAAACAAAGCCCACCTCGTGGAGGCCAGGACACAGAAGGTCAAGATGGGGATGGAGCCAAGATATGCCCTTCAAAGCCTTGTAGACCTCACCTGCAAGGTGCCCGCTAAGCTGTAACCCCTGGAGAGCTCACAGTCCACCTCTGAACACTGCTGCCAAGCATTCCCTGTCTGAGCCTCTACAAGGCACTTGTATTAACTTCCTTAACCTCCGCGGGGCCCTCATTGCTGCGAATGAGGCAGCTCACCTTCAGTTTACAGAACAGGAGGACGGTGAGGCTGCACAGTGCAGGCCGTAAGCGCAGGGAAGTTGTCTAAATGCTGCGTGCACGCTGGGGTGCACAGGGCTCCGGTCTCTCTGGAGCTGAAGCCTCCGTTGGCGTTGCTGTACAGACAGAGCCCCCCCCCCCATCCTGTTACCTCATCAGTCTTCCCTTCGCCGTGAGCATCCGGTGTAGTTACAGGTGAGCACTTTGCTGGGTGTGCCAACTGAAACCTCGATAACAAAGTATTATCGTCGCGACATCCAAGACCGTAAATACCGACTTTTTGGTTCTGGAGGCTGCGAAGTCCTCCATCAGGGCACTAAGCGTGGTCCAGATCTTGGTGAAAGCAATTAACAGATGATTTCCTCCCCTCCTTCCTTTCTCTCTTCCTTCCTCCGTTCCAGTATTCTTCTTGTTTTTTTTATTTTTATTCTGAAATATTTAAACCTAAAAAGAATTGCAATAACAATACAAATAATTCCTGTGTGCTATTTCTCCTGTTTTTTTTTTGTTTGTTTGCTTGTTTTGTTTTTGTTTTTTTGTTTTTTTGTTTTTTTTGTTTTTTGAAACATTTCAGTCTGTAGTCTTACATGGCCTAGAACCTAGAACCCATTGTGTAGACCATGCTGGCCTTGGACTCACAGAGATCCATCTGCCTCTAGGGTGCTAGGATTGAAGCTGAGCACCACCACACATTTCTTTAGGGGCCTAAAGCCAGCAGCTTGGGGAGACCCCAGATATCGCAGCGGCTTCTTAGGACTTGCTGTGGTGTAGTGAAGCTAGCTTCCTGTTTGTCTGTCTCCATCTAAGGGACTCTAACATTCCACCTTTGCCCCAGCCACTCGGTGGTCAGCATTCAAGGAATGATTACTGACATGGGAAGTTTGGTGTTGGCACATGAAAAACAGTTTATTATAACTCATGCTACTTAAATCTCCTGATCAAAACCACTGTGCCCTTTTGAAAAATGTGTCTGTGTGTTTCGCTTGCATGTCTGTGAACTCTGTGCATGCCTGGTTCCCACAGGGGCACACAGGGCGTGGCAGAGACCCTGGGACTGGATTTACAGATCGTTGTGGACCACCTCAGGTAGGTGCTATGGCCTCTGGAAAAGTAGCCAGTGTTCCTAGCTTTCTGAGCCATCTCTCCAGCCCCGCCCCCCCAAGTGCCCTATTTTAAATGATAGTTCATGCGACACATTTAACTTAGTTGTTCCTTATGATGCTGGCCTTGCTTTCATTTGTATTGTTATGTTCCAGTTGTTTCTTCCATCAACCATATTCGCTGGGTCTTTCTTCACAATACATTTTTTAAAAGTGAGAAAATTAATAACCAGCTTTGTGAATCATATTTAAGAAATGAGGTAGATTTTGACGACAATAGGGCAGTGGTTCTCGACCTTCTTAATAGTGCAACCCTTTAAATTCCTTAAATTCCTCATGTGTGATGACCCCTAACCATAAAATCATTTTCATTGCTACTTCATAACTGTGATTTTGCTACTGTTATGATTGGTAATATTTGCTGGTGGTCTTAGGCAATCCCGGTGGAAGGGTCGTTTGATCCCCAAATGGATCATGACCCAAAGGTTAAGAACCATTGCAACAGGGTCACTAGTTATTTGTAAGATTAGTCAACATGATGTCACCTCAAGAGCCAGGTGAGGATACTTGCATTTAAGAGGTTTCTCGGGCGGTGGGAGCAAATGCAGTAGACCTTGATGTCCACAGAAACGGACCTTGAGATCTTTGCAAAGTCTTCACTCTAGAGTTTTCCTGAGCATCCTTTCCTGTGCACACACCCCCAGACTCCAGATCCAGGTCTGTCAGCCCCTTACACAGGATCTCTCATCAGGCACTTTCAGGCAGTTCCTACCAGACCCCTCAAGGCCAATGTGTGTCTCTCTCTTCACTCATGCTATTTGTCATTCAAATATGAGCAGCCCCCCACAGACTTCCTGGTGCAGACTACATGTTGCTAATTTGGGGCTTTTGATAAGTCACTGAAATGGTGTCACACATGTGAAGTGCCCAGCAAGACGTTCAGTGACTCGGCAAGGCGCCCCGCACCTACTCCTGATGGCATGGCTGCCTGCTACTGCTAAGTGCTTCTGAGGGGCTGCATCCCCCAGGTCCGTCACCACCTCCTCCACCCCGTGTAGTTGAACAGCATCGATTCCAAGTGCTCAGTGTGTTCTGTGGGCCCAGGTGAGGCACTGGTATGAGCCACACTCCTGACTAACCCATCACCGCCACCCACATCAGCCTCTCGCCTCATCTCTGAGCACATGCTCCTACCTCTAGCCCTTTATACTCGTCTCTGTCTCCATAAAGATGCCCACTCCCATGTCTGTGTGGCTCAGTTGAAGACTACACCCAAAAAGTCATCCTACACGGACAGCAGATCCTCTCGTCCTCCAGCCCGACTCTCCTTTGGTGTCTTCATATGCCACCCTTCGTAATGAGGTCATAAGCTCCGAGGGAGTTAAAATTGTCCTCATCACTGTTGTGTGCTTGATCCTAAGAACATCACCTGGTACCCAGCAGGTTGGCAATGAGCATTTGTTGGATGAGTGGATTGATGGATGGATGAATGAATGAATGAATGAATGATTCAGGCATGAAATATTGGTACCTACAAGAAAAGTTGCTCTCTGAGGTTTACAGGGCTAGACGTGGAGCAGAAGACCCTGAGTAATTATGATGCAAAGATGCTGTTAAGTCCAAAGGAAACTCCGATTTCCCAAACTCAAAGAGACAGTACAAATATCCAGAAATGAGCTCAACCAGGACTGTAGGAGGATTTCCGGCAGTTAGATGAAAGCCAGTGTTCCTCAGGAACTTGGAAGCTGGTTCTCCTCTATCAAAAGAAGCCATTCCCCTTACATTTACAGAAGGGACACCTGTGGTGCCAATCTCCTTCTGCATCACGAGTACCTGCTATACATTCCAAAGTCTATGCGAGTGAACATCCTGGCCCTTCTCACTTCCTCCCTAGCCCTAAATGGGCTTCCTCCCCCAGCTACCCACTCTCCTAATAACCATGCTGTTTCAGCTGTGTACTCTTTCTGTTATGCTTCTCTGTTTGCTCTCTTGTCTCTATCCCCTGCTGCTCCCCACAAGGATAGCCCAGGCTGTCCCAGATGCCTCTGGCTGCTCTCTCTCTCTCTCTCTCTCTCTCTCTCTCTCTCTCTCTCTCTCTCTCTCTCTCTCTCTCTCTCTCTCTCTCTCTCTCTCTGTCTCTCTCATGCACACACACAGACACACAGACACACAGAAACACAGACACAGAGAGAGAGACAGAGAGAGAGACAGAGAGA